TGTTCTGTGTGAGGATGCTCTCCACAGCGCCTGTATAGAAAATCCTGAGGATCTCTGGAGAGACCCTGAACTTCCTCAGTTGTCATAGGTGGCACAGGCGCTGACTAGCCTTTTTGGTCTGGACATGAATGTGGGCAGACCATGTCAGGTCTGAGGAGATGTGGACACCGAGATACTTGAAGGACTGCACCCTCTCCACTGGAGCTCCATTGATGATAATAGGCTTGTAGTCTCTGTGCTGACTCCTGATATAAATAAAGTTTACTTTGACTTCAGCACAGCAGCAAGCAGGCGCATCGAGGGATCTCGTGCTCACTTTTCACGTATAGAATTTTGAAAAAACATCAGTGCAAATTATAAGTCTTTATCATTACATCTGGGGTTTTTGTGTTTGTTGGTTTGTTTTTATTTTGTTTTATTTTGCGAGTTGGTTATTAGATACCGCTCCAGCCAGCCAGAGAATCCCCTGCCGCACCGACCTCTCCTCCAACAAGCAGCAGGCGCACCTCGCAAACGGATGGCGCCCTTACGCCCAGCAAATGGGCGATAGAAAACCGATCAGTGCCTATGCCATTCCCAAAATGCGGTGACTTCATGTTGGGGCAGAATGAGCAGGAGTAATTTTTTTTTCCGATGCCCGTAATGCCGCCCCCACCACGATGCCGCCCTGGGCAACCGCCCATGTCGCCCATATCAAAAACCTGTCAACATGTCAGATGTCATCTGAGAAGATGTGACGTCAAGTAAGAGAATGGGGGAAAAGGGTAAACAGGTATAAATGTTAAGTGAAGAAGAGATACCGTGTTCTTCCCTTTGTCTTCTGTGAGATGAACAGTTCATAAGATGGTACCTAAGATGTTCACCGTTGAAAATTCCAGCAGAAGACCTTCCTCGCATTCCTGCAGCCACATGCAGACACTGATTCTCCAAGGTGAAAACTGGATCATGTCTATGCACACAAAATCCAGACATTAATGTAATTTTCACTACTGAAACTACATTTCCCGTTCAACATGTTAATCAAACGTATGTTTTGATCATATCTTTGATCAAGAATAAAGATGGTTTACTGTTAGAAAATATGGAAAAGCTCTGTTATATCGTGCATCATTTTAAACATAAAAGGCTGGATGATAAGACTTTTTACCCTCTCAGATGTGATAGGAAAGCCGGGGCAACTTCAATCTCTCCCTCAATCCTAGATTTCTCAGCACCCAGCTGTCTAAGCTAAGGGTAGTTTTAAAACAGCTAAATTACCACCTGCAGAGGAATGGTTTATTCCAGAGTTTCAGTCAGGTTTCAGAGCTCATCACAGATGTCTGTGCTTGTCCTGCTAAACCTCAGTGCAGTGTTTGATACTGTTGACCATAATAATGTATTATAGTGATTAGAGGATGCTGTAAGTATTACAAGTACTGTGCTGCAGTAGTTTGAATTATATATATATCTAATGGGCTAGAAAGAGAGAGCATCTTTCTCCTATATTGGCTTCTCTTTACTGGCTCCCTGTTAAATTCAGATTTCTATTTTTATTAAGCGTACCTATTTAATGATTTATTGATTCATTTAGCAGACACTGATATGCTATTTTTGTTTTGAAATCTCTATTTTGAAGTGAAATTCTCAACCTGATCATTTGTCCCTCAGGTATAGGAAATTATGATGAGTACGAGCTGAAGTCCATTGCCTCTGATCCGGACGAGAGTCACACGTACCTAGTTAGCAACTTCCAGTTCCTACTGGACATCGTTGACAACGTCACAATCAACTTGTGCAACAGCATAAAGGCCTCAGGTTGGTAATGAGTAACTGGAGCATTAGACCAGCATCACAGTTAGCATTAGATACATTGTTCAACATTTTACAAAGCTGAAAAGACTTCCCAATTTTAGTTTTTCTGACAAGAGGCTATAGCTAGTTATTTGAATCTGTTGTATAACTCTTTTAGGAAGTGTAGAGTGGCACATTTGTTAGTGATTTAATAAAGGCTATTGCCCTTTAATTGTTCAACATTGCAATCATGACTTTACTTTCATGGCTCGTACTATTATTTAGAGTTAGAAATAGCCATATAGGGTACACCTTTCACCATCTTACAATGCTGTGATCACAGCTATTCCCCAACTCTCTGTAAATGGTACTCATGGCCACTGATCATTGGTTATTGATCAATGGTCTTTGATCAGTGGCTGTTTATCAATGGTCATGACAATTTGAATATTAATGATCAAAAAACTGGCCTCACAACCCATTGTTCTTTAGTTGTGCTATTTTCAGTCATTGTGCATTGGAATGAGAAATAGCACCCCAAATCTGGGGCCATGTTCTAAGCTGGAGAAGGGTGGAGTGGAAGACTTCAAGTATCTCTATCTTGCTCACAAGGGAGGACAAAGTGGAGTGAAAGATTTACACGTGGGTTGGTGTGGTGGACACTGTTCTGATCTTTTGTGGTGAAGTGAGAAGTGAAGAAAAGTGAAGTTTTTGATTTACCAGCTGATTTACATTCTTATCCTAACCTATGGTCATGATGTTTGGGTAGTGACCAAAAGAATGAAAATGGCCGGGAATGAGAATTCCCAAACGCTATTGTAGAGAGAGAAAATAAGAGCGGATAGAATGACCAACTCACCTCAATGTTACTTCACTTTATTATTATCTATTTAAAAATTCAAATATTGTACTAAACTTGTATTTTTCAACAGTGGTTCTTTTTTATATGATCTGCTTTGCACCTTTTCTTGATCTCATTTGGATTTTAATTGACGTCGAGGAAAACAGATTAGGAAAACCAGATTGGAGGCTGCTCTTTAGACTACTATGTTTAGTACTGCAGTCCCTTAAAAGAGCTAAAACGTCTCCTAACTTGTTTTGAACAGCTGAGCAGCCTTTTCCTGGAGCAGGAACATGTAAATAATTGTGGGAGCAGGTGGCGCCATAGATCACAGTGTGGGAGAGGCTACTTACTACTGAGACCACAGGGCCGGTTATCTGACGAGAAAAGAATCGACAGTCTTTTCTGTGCCTTTGTCTTCTTTCCTCCTTATGTATTTCATCTCACTCTTTCTCACTTTTCTCTCACATACAAACAGTTAAAATAGGACTCAATAGCTGAGGTGGGTATTTGTTGTGTACCAGGTGTCTCACTAACTTCCCCTCCTCCCAACAGCACCGCCTCTCTCTGGAGATGCTCAGTGTAACACCACAGCGAAAGCTGATATCGTACTGCTGGTTGATGGATCCTGGAGTGTTGGACACGTAAACTTCAAAACCATCCGCAACTTCATTGCTCGTGTGGTCAGTGTGTTTGACATTGGCCCAGAAAGTGTCCAGATCGGTAAAGGTTGATTTGATTCATTTAAAAAGTGGGGCAAACGAGAAGAAGTTTCAGAATCACTACTTTAAGTCAGCTTTGCTCTGATTGGCTGTTCATTACAGGCAGATGATTTAAACAGCAGGTGGGTGGGGCTTCTAGGCTGAGATGACTGGATATCTGGTTTCTTTTACGTTATGCTGAACATGTACCAAACATTTCGAGTAGTCTGAAGCCTGGCTTTACAAGGATTACTTGTATGTACACTAATCTCATTATTCAAATCTTTGTTTACATTGAACATCCACCGTTGGAACAGTGTATAGATGGCAGAAAATAAGGAAAAGCAGAATGGGTTGCTTCGTTTGTCCCACTTTATTTGTAGTTGTTATCATTTTGTCTATTTTGTGAAAAAGCTGAGGATCAGAGTTTGTTTATCTTTGGTGCTCTACATTAATGAATGTGTTTTCTGCAGGTCTGACTCATTACAGTGGTGATCCAAGGACTGAATGGCACCTCAACGCCCACCCCACCAAAGCATCCCTGTTACATGCCATTGCCAACCTGCCATATAAAGGAGGAAACACCATGACAGGTGACTTTGTAACAGCATTGCTAGGCTCCCCCCATCGCAATGTTTCCAGCTGAAGTCTTAGTAAAACATCTTTGCTGCTGTGTTGTAGGCTTGGCTCTAAACTACATGCTTGAAAACAACTTCAAACCTAATGTGGGGATGCGTGGAGACTCCCGCAAAATTGGCATCCTGATCACTGATGGAAGGTCCCAGGATGAAGTCATCCGAGTCTCACAGAAACTCAGAGACAGTGGCATTGAGCTCTATGCTGTTGGTTAGTGAGCTTGGTTGTTTACATAGGGAAAAAATGCAAGGAAAGCAGCAATGAGCTACAGACTGTGACTTTTTTTTAAAAAAAGAAAAAGACCAGCAACAATACTCATGCTTTGATATTTAAATGATGGTTCAGGTGGTACTAAGGGCCCCACTACCATTTCCACCACCACCATTAGCCTGAAGTGTTCTTACAAGGCAAAATGGGTCCACACTTTTATGTTGTTTATGCAAATTCTGATCTCAGCATTTAAATGTTGCAGTAGAAAGAGAGATCTCAGGAGTTTCCAGTCTTGCACTGACCAATTTTAGCGTCAGTTTCCTGTTCTTCACTAACAGGAGTGAAGCTTGACTGATTCATATGGAAGTCACTGATATTATTTTTGTTCTTAGTCTCGGTTTAAATGTGTAATTCTCAATCTGATCGTGCATTTTTCTGGTAGGTATAGCTCATATTGATGAGAATGAGCTGAAGTCCATCGCCTCTGATCCAGATGAGAGTCACGTATACTCCGTCACTGACTTCAAGTTCCTGCCGGACATCGTTAATGACCTCACAATCAACTTGTACAACAGCTTAAAGGGCTCAGGTTGGAGACACTGGATAATTATAAGACCAGCATCTCAATAACTTTTATAAAATCTTGCACTGGTCAAGATTTCAAAAGGTCGGAAATTAGTTGGAGCCCAATTCCTTGTATGTGTACAAATACTATGAAACTGATCAAGCTAATTCTTAAAAGAGTATAATATAGCTTGAATAACTTAATCTCCTGAAATTTTGAAGTGATTTAATAAGTGTACATTTAGTAAAAAATATATCTATGATAGATGAACATTGTCACGTCACCCCCTGGCTTGTGAATTTTAAACCCTCAACTTTAGCTTAATGATTATCGCTGTGTTGGTTTTTGAGTCAGAGGTTTCCATATTCAGACAAGACGGTGGAGCAAAGCACTGATAAATCTACTAATTAATACTGACTAATAGACTAATACAGTTACTGTGCAAGTCTTGAGCCAACTCTTATACCTCTAGATTTTCTTCCAGGGAACCTGACTCTTATAATTTATTAAAGTGGTTTTAGCAATAGTTTTCCATGTGTTCTTCAAGACTTTCCAAGTTTTTCTTCATTCATTGGCTGCTTTTCTCCAGCTGTCCAGTCCGATTCATCAGAGGCTTTAAAAAACTGTATTTTCAAAAGAAATGGAAAATTCTTACAATTATTTCATGGTTCAGGCTTTAAAGGGTTAAGCAATCATTGGCACAGCAGCGTTTACCCTTTTTCAGCAATGAAACTGACGACACATCACACATGGGAAATAGAGATTACTTTGTTTTTGTTATTCACAAATCAGTTCTGCACTAAAAACAGAAGATTATCCTCTTAGCTTAGCTGAATGATAAAAGGATATGTGATATGTTGCATTGTTTGATGTCAACATGATGGATTCCATTCTCTGTGCTCCGTCTCTTATTCAGACGATGAGCCACTGGGGGCACCAACCAACCTGGTGACCTCAGAGGTGAAACAGAGCTCCTTCCGCACCACCTGGACTCCACCTGACAGCACCGTGGATCAGTTTCGCGTCACTTACTCGATAGCAGCCGGAGGACTCCCCAAGGAGGTGAGATGAGCTCTCCCCCTTATGTTATTTTGTAACCAGAGACCAGAGGCTTTTAGCTCCCACCATCAGAATACATGTACTTCATACTGATGGCAAAACTCTCATTTCATTTATTTGTGACAACCCAAATATAAAAATATACACCCGTCAGAGCATAAACAGTGTATAAAAATGCTGCATAAGACTCATTTAGTCTAGAGTTTTACATTTCAGAAACTTATGAACAGAACCTGGCCCAGAAAGTGGCCAATGCCACACAATAAAAAACAGAAAATTAATGCAGAACTGAAAACCGTGTTGAAGACCCAGAACTGTGACACTCACAAAATCCCAAAAGTGAGTCCAACTGTTGGTTTGAAGTATTCTTTGGTTTTGATCAAATCCACCTGTGATTAACTCGTTCACTGGTCAACAGAATAAGAACCAATGCTTTATCGTTTCAGCTTTTAGTTGAAGGATCGGTGACCACTGTAGTGCTGGAAAATCTAAACCCTCTGACTGAGTACATCATCAATGTTTATGCTGTGGTTGGCGAGCGGAGCAGTGAGCCTCTCAGGGGCACCGAGACCACCCGTGAGTGTTTCCTCTTCTACAGTCTGTACTGTTGGTTATACAGAAAACTTAGTACAAAATTAAAGAACAAAAATAATTTATCATTTTATTTAGTGCATGGACACTATGTTTGGTGTTCAGGTTACCATGTGCATGACAAACTAGTTCTATCTTCATCTTTGAACTCTTCCTTTCAGGAGATGGATAGGTGTCATTTGAGCTGTGGGGGCATCATTCAGAAGAAAGTTTAACTCCTCTTCTTCAGTCCTTTCCACTCCCCCAAAACCAGTCAGCCACTTGAAAATACTCCATCTGTGTCGGTCTGCGTGTTCATATCTTTATATGTGTCAGTGTTTTTAGGATCATCATGATCAGTGCTAACTGCTTCACCACCATGGTTAATACTTCTGTCTCACAGCAAAAAGATTCCTGATTCCAGCTCCTGGTTTCTTCCTTTGTGGAGTTTGCATGGTGCGAGCGCTCAGTTAGACTCAAATTGTTTATAAATGTGACTACATTACAGTTACTTCATGTACTCTCTCTATGTTGACCCGAGGATCAATAAAAACAACATGGCTCTCATGATCAACAAACCAGTTTGTGGCTCTTTGTGTATAGAATGGCTGACTGTTGGTGGATAAAGGTAAAATGTGTGAGTCCACAAAACTGAGCTGCTGTTTCCAACTAAATTAGTGTGTGAGCACAATCCGCACAATAGCATTGAGGTGTGGTTAGTTTTTCAGGTGTGTTTAAAAAGCACAGTCAATTCATTTCAGTGTGATGAGCCCAATCTGACAAGTGCAATGCACGATCTCCGTGACATATTATGTATTGTCAAAGTGTAGCTGAAACTGTGTAGTTCCACCTTTAAAAACAGTCATGTTGGAGCAACTATCGAGATCACAGTGAAAACCACGTTCGCTGTCCATGGTCTTGAAATATAACAGTTTAATTTGAGTATAATAAAATGTTATTGCAGTAAAATATGAAACAAATGTTACCTTCAAATCATCAAACCAATTCAAAACATTATAATTTCAAGAACTTCCCACTTCTACTCTTTTGTCCATCCACCTCTGGATGTCATAAGACCTGGGGCAGGCAGAGCTAGGAGCAGCACCTCCCGCCCCGTTAAGTAGCAGATCGTGTGGAGACTCTTCCCACTTGAAAGGAGGCTGAACTGGGACGACATCCAAAGAACAAAATCCAAAGAACTGCAGGCCTCACTTACCTCAGTTATGGTCAGTGGAAAATAAGAAATATTGTGGGAAAATATTCTGTGTATACTGTGTAAATAAATGACATTTTAATCTTGAAAAAGAAGAAAATTTGAGCAAATGATTATGATTAGAAGACAGAACTGAAAAGGCCCTGGGATGAGAGGAGAAACGCTTTCACATAAAGTCCAGACTCTTTCTCTCCAAGCTCCTTAGATTAGGAGACGTTATTTAGGAATGCATGGCTCGAGTTCCCTCACCTCTGTCTTCTTATTTGGAGTCATTTGGAGTGTCATGCAGAACATAGTAAAATGTTCTGAAGTGTCGACACTAACGTCTAGAAATTGAGCAACTGATTAACTCATGTGTCACATAATTACCCATTTGGAAGCAGCCATGCCAGCACTGAGCTTTACTGGTATCACCATAAATGCATCCCATATGGAAAACATATATATAAATCTTGTAAAGTTTGTATCTGTCTTGTGTGAAACCTGTATGAAAAGCATACAAGAGTGAAAACATATATAAGATCACTTGAAAAATTATATAAATGAAACTTATGGATATATATATATATATATATGGATGCTGGATAAAGGGGTCTTTAGTCATGCGAAAGTAGATATTTCCCTTTACTGTAGTGTGTCAAAGAGCTCTGTTTACACTTACACTCATGTTATGCTTCCCATCAGACTCCTGATGACGCGGTGATCCTGGCAGATGTTCCTTTTTTAGTGGGAAGCAGATACAGTGACTGACTCCCCACCAATCAGGAAACAAGTGGAGGTTCCTACACAAAGATCCTTTCTTACTGAACCACAACTCTCACACTTCCTGTGAGTGGGCGAGTTGTTGTGATGTACTCCTACTCCTCACTCGTCTCTCCTCCTGATGCATTTCCTTTCACTTTTTCTCACTTTTCTCAGCCATAAACAGTCCAAACAAGACCAAACAGGCCCTCATGCCAGGTATCTCTCGTGCATCAGGTGTCTCGCTAACCTCGACTCCTTCCAACACCACTGTCTTCTTGCATGTGCTCAGTGTAATACAACAGCGTAAGCCGACATTGCGCTGCTGGTCAACGGCTCCTGGAGTGTCGGGCGCATCAGCGTGTTTGACATCAACCCTGACAGAGTCCCGATCGGTAAAGCTTTCACAGCTGTTACTATAACAACAAGAGTCACATTGGACAGCTGCTGATTTGGTCACAGCCATCCCTCAGTCCTATAGTTTCCAAATACAATGGTGTGAAAAGTGTTTGCTCCCTTCCTGATTTCCTATTCTATATATATGTGTGTGTGTGTGTGTGTTAAAAGATTTTACCTTTATAATTGTTTATGTTTAGCTTATTTGAATTTCACAGTAATGCCTGTACATAGCGTGTCAGCATTTCTTTAACTGGAACAAAGTGACCACATGAGGAAGTTGCTCAAGTTTAGACAACACCCACATGTATTGTTTTAACCCACTACAAGATCGTTAATCAACTTGTTCCTCCTTGTCTTGCAAGGCTGCATCCTGTGCAGCCTCCGTATGCAATCACCAGATAAGAAGTTGTTTTTTCCTAACTTGTACTCCACCCATGAGTGTTACGTGAGTAAGACAGTATATAATAAAGTTTGAGCAGATGCTCGGCGCGCATTCCTGCACTGACTCTGTAGTTGACAGATCATGCACAGGAATCGTCCATGTACATGAGTTAACTCTGAGCCCGTGATTCTTTGCTTTCCTGAGGTTTTTCTCCTTACAGTGTGTGTCACACAAAAATGGTGGCAGTGGTTTTTATCTTGAAGCTCTGCCATGCAGGCCATTTTATGGTCATGTTATGGTGGAGTCATGAACACTGACTTTCACTAAGTGAGGCTTGTAGTTGTAATGAATGTGAGCTCTTGTACTATCCTCATAAGGACCACGGCAGCCCTGCAAGACCACATGGTCGTGTCAAAAACGTAAAGTGTGAGAGCTGCAGTTCAGTAAGAAAGGATCTTTGTGTAGAAACCTCCACTTGTTCCCTTATTGGTGGGAATTCAGTCACTGTGTCTGATTCCCATTACAATTGGAATTTGTGCCAAGGATCAGTGAATCATTCGAGTTTGATGGTAAGCAAAACATTAGACCTTTTCCTAGGAAAAACAGTTTTTTGTGACAATTGTCCAGTTTTTGTGAAAACATTTCACCTCTTATTCAAGAGTCTTCTCCAGTTCTGTCTGTTGCTCAAATTTCCTTCTTTTTCAGGATAAAGTGTTTGTTTTTGCACGGGGCAAACACTTTTTCACACCATTGTATTCCTTATTTATTTATTCTGATCAGTAATTGAGAAATAAGCCAAGTCAAATCATTTGTATTTCTCATTTAAAAAGCAGATCAAAGTGCTGCACAGCCATCAGCTGAGACTCAACAAACTGCTTCAATGCAACTTTTTCCAGTTCTCACAGATATTCTGGCTTAAGATATCTGCTGATACCGAGTACTGATCTCATATCAGTGTTAAATTAATAAGAGTGCGATTAATTCCTTTATGTGTGTGACAACATCAGGTTTATGCTTTAAACCTTGCTTTAAGGTTACATCCAAGAATTTAAAATGACTGAGTTGTTTTTATTAGTAAGATAATAAATGACCATCAAGAATTTTTAAACAAAAAGGAAGTTTGTAGATTGTCTTATAATTACCTAAGAGTTCTGGATTAAGTGATGACTGTTTAAGTAACGGTTTAACTACTGCTAGCTTGAAGACCTGTGGTACATAGCCAATTATTAGAGAGAGGTTGATCATATTTAAGATTGAAAGATTAATTAATGGTTGTGGTGGACTTATTACTGTAAGAAGTTATTACTGAAATTAACGCGGATCAATTGGAGAAAAAGAGTAAAAAAATGATAATGAAAGTAGCTGTACATAATGTTATGTCTGTGAGATGGTTATGAGTAATTTTTTTCACGTGGTTAAAATTTGCACAAGTTAATCTCAGTACAAAGGAGAGCAAATGTATCCTTTTGCCTGCTTCTCATGTGGCCCCCCAGCTAAATGCAACACTGACAACAATGACTGGGAACTGTTGGCTGCGAAACTGGAGCTCAAAGAGCAGAAACGCTGGCTTGAGGGAGCCGAGGACCCATTAATAATTTGGTCAGAAACAAAAAACATAAACCTCGCTCAACTCAAAGCCACCAAATGACTGAACACTAGACACACCAGGTGGGCTCTCTTCTTCACCTGCTTTAACTTTGTGATCACTTACAGGTCTGGTTCCCAGAATGTAAAACCTGATGATCAGTTCTGCCAGTTTTTTCTGGAGAGGAGACGACAATCCTTGCTCCAGGTACAACCGTAGTGAAGTGAACTAATTGTCCAATCATTGGTCTTGGCTTGACTCTGTTCTGATACTAGATGTCCCTGGTGATACAAAAATATATATACAGGAGAGGTTTGCTGTACTACTGTTGCTGTAAATATTTGCCTGTTTATGTGTTTCTACTGTCATTATGACCTGAATCAGAGCACAAGAAATAAAAGCCTCCCAGTGGGATTCAGGTAAACTGATCCTGGTTCAATTCTTCAGGTAATATCAGATAATGATGATGAGAAGTAGGAGGTGGGTGTGGTTACTGTCTGCAGGTATGAAGGCAAAAACTGATATTACCTGCTTTCAGTACTGAGATAAGCTCTCTGGAGTGAATTTCATTGATACAAATGGAGCGTCTCCAGGTGTGGGGCATTTTCAGCCTCATCGTTCTCACCGCCGCCCAGAAAACCACAAACAGGTAAGCACACAGGCTGAAATACAGGACTCACCTGGACAGTTTAAACTGCTTCTTCATGAGTGTTTTTCTTCTTCTGCTCATCTGTGTATCTACAGTTTTTAAATACATTTTCCTACATTTTAGGAAATAAAAAGTCAGTTCAAAACTGCAGGAGTGGTGTTAAAAATTCATTGAATCTAAGCTGATTGTTCATTATTTTTACAAACATGTTTTATTGCCTTACAGTCATTTTTGCACAAGTTGATTAAAAGATATAGATTTAAACTAATGTAAGTACATATTTTTATAATAAATTAGTTCCAATAAAATAATAAATGTTCACAGTGGGGAAGGTTTCTGTTTCCATTCGCCCTTTTAGGTTTTCTACACCAACTTGTTATTCTTAATGATGTTTTTTTGGGGGGGTATAAATAAATATATTTATTCATTATGGGTTTTTTTCCTCAGCCCCCACCCTCAGCCCTCCTACCTGCTCCTCGCTCCCAAAGCCCTCCAACATGGAATCCCAACATCTATATCAGTCACCATCCTGATCCCTTCACCGGTCACTGTATCTGCTCACATTGTTCATGGAAACCTAACAATGGCCTCAAAATCTGTTAAAGTTGA